GGGAAGGGGGAGAGGGCGCGGCCGGCTCGGGTAAGGGAGGAACGACGAGAAAAGAGAGATATGAAGAGAAGAGATCTGCAAAGGAAGAACACGATTGTCGTCGCTTCGCAAATGATTTCGTGTGTTCTACTTCTTGCCTCCTCTTGTCTTCCTTAGATTCGAAGGCGGTACAAGCATTGGCGTAAAGGAAGTTCTGCGGTAAGCAGACGAGAGTGTTAGGAAACGAAGCTGCACGGACGTAGCGGCGACAAGGCAAAATACGCTCTCAAGGACATTCAGCTTTCCTGCGGCCTCTAACATAGTGCGATGTGACAAGTACGCCTGCTCCAAGCCGCTTTCAAGCGGCGCCACCCCCGAAGTGTCCTATAATGAACTAGACTGCACTCAGCTGATTCCCAGAAAACGCAAAGTGACTTTTATATCGGTATAGTTCGTAGTGTTCTCATGCTTTGTAGAGTGAATTCTCGATTCGTCATTTGTACAGAGCTGCCGTACACTAGTATGTCACACGCTGACTGTTTCACTCAGTCCAACAAAGATATTTTTGACACTGTTTAGAAGTGTGTGTTTGATTTGAAAATATACAGTTCTGCTGTTAATTTGCGTTTTTGTCGCTCGTAACGACGGCATACAAAATTCGGCTCTTGGTTATACGACCATTTTGATCTCTCGTAATACGTCCTTCTTGTCGCATTTTAATAGGATTCACGCACCGAGAGACTCTTTTCAGCGCGCTTCTTTTTTGAGTCCAAATGTATTCATTTTCTTGCATCACGTTTTGCTCTTTTCTCCAGTATCTCAGGTATCTGTGTGCCAGTACTTTTGTGTACAGCTCAACCTGGTTTTGACGCAGGGGCTGTGGGAATTCGGATGAAAAGAAGGGCGTTCCATCCGAAAGAGATATGATAAAGGCATTACAGCATTGCTGATTGCTTTCAAGTGTATGCCATTTATATAGCATCGGCCAAAAGGCAAGACAGACATACGCATTCTACACGAATATGCCTTTGCGTTGATAAACGCATGGACAAATACGCAGCCTGTATTGGCCTGTTTACTCATTAGCCTCAAACCCGACTTCTTCCTTGATTTCACGTCGCTTTCAATTTTCTTTTTAATTAAAACCTATTGTATTCCTAAATATTGCTAAACTTGTATAGAAAGCTAAGTTTCGCGTATGGAACTCCCTCGAGGGAACTTTTCACAAAACCAGTAGCGCAATTGCGGACGGAAACAGCAGCAACTACAGCTGTGACTGTGTCTGCTGTTACCGTTAATAGGCATGCGCAGTAGAAATGGGATGTTCGTATGTGCGTATAATTGTAAATGGTAGGCAACGCAATCTTTCTAGTTAGTGGAGTTTCGAGTCATTGGAGTCAGCTTGCTAGCTCCATTTTTCCAGCAAGGTCGAAACATTTAAGAGCTAGAAAAGAATCAAAAAGAGACTGGCCAAAAACGAAGTCTGTCATATAAAGCCCAAATTTTCTTTAAGCGGAACAGTTAAAAACAGTACTGTTATTTTGTAGTCATTCGCTTATTTTTTGTGTGTGCGTCTATATGTGTGTCTGCTTCCAAATTGAATGGCATGCATTCGTGGCCTTTGTTCATTGTTCAATACACAAAGTGAAAGCGTTCTTCCGCTTCTTCAAAGATGGCGGAAATCGGCGGGTTCACGGCCGCAACGGCCCTTGCATCTGTACTAGCTGCTTTATTGACCCAAGTAATAAAATCTCTTCGCAAACCGTAGCGACGTGGTGCACGTAGAAGCCAAAGCGTTACTGAAAATTCAGTTGCTATATGAATCGAGTAGCGCAAAACGGGTACACCTCTGCCGCTAGTATCCATCCGACCCCCCCCCCCCCCCATCGATCTTCAATTATCTAAGCAGCATCAGCTTGATGCTTCAAGCATCAGAGCCTGTACTATTTAGTAGGATTAACCCCGAAAACGGATTCAATCCTCTTCCATAAAATTACGACTCCTCGATGATGCCAGGTTGTCTAATCGTCTTTCAATGGCATCGATTCGGGAAAGTATAATACGTAGGTAAATATCGAGCCAAGGATCGCAAGTTTCAATTGGAGAGTCTATCATTATCAAAGATAGTTTCTGTGCGTAAGAAATTCAATTTTTCCCAAACATTTTCGCGTATTGAACACTGCGTTCAAAACAACTTTTTAGACATATAGTATGGTTCTAAGTTTTTTGTGAAATTGTTTAATTATATTTTTAAATGCTTTATATTGGCTTGCGAAATGTATTGGATTATCGTGTCTATACGTCATCTTTGAGACAAATGTACCGCAAAAAGTCCAGTGGCGTAGCATCTAATGAGCACAGCCGTAGCTCTAGTGACCTGTTCAAAAGTGGACATGGAAAAGCCCAGGACGTTAATACCGGCGCTGTACTGTTCTTCAAGAACGTACTACACATCTGTGCTTCACCCAAAAGGTTTATCATGTACGATATAAAAGGTTGCTTAAAGGGCACCATGCACCCGCAAACCACATACAAAGCCCTAATGATTACCAAATTCTATGTAATAAAAACCAGCAATAAGCCTACCTGCAAAGAGTTCTAAATAAATCCACTCGGGACCCAAATGCAATGTATCTGATCGCACCTCTATAATAAATAGGTTTTCATTTCTGCTAAACAAAAACAACGATATAGCTATCGGAACACTTAATGTTATGAAAGAAAGGTTGTCAAAGCATTTCACTTTGTGACGCGGCATTTTAATAAGTGGTAAGTTCTAAAAAACTTCTGTATACTGCCCGCTGTTGCCAGAGATCTCATTTAAGGATCTTGTGGAAAACTCCCTCTAGTTGGAACTCGAACTTTAAGCTCCGTATTTCCATAAAGGCTTTTCGTGCTTTACGTGCGGTACTTCAGCTGTTAGGCATTACTGCAGACGATTGGTGCCTTCTGCTAGCACGAAAAAAGGTGTGTCTATAACCGGATTCGAGCTTGGGCTGCCTCATATGTCCCTGAGTTAGCACACAAGCACGTTACTCACTGCCCTACCAAGCAAGCATTTTCTGTTGATGAAACCCATTAATTATTTTAATGCATAGCTATTGAATTTTAGTAACTCGAAATTCAAGGGGACGGTGCTGAACCCCAAAATTCTATATAGTTACTTCACAATTATCCTTTAGTCTTAAATCGAATATATTGACACGCTATGATCAAAACATTAGTAAGAATCTATGAGAAATTCTCATTTAGCTGTGGCTATGGTTCGCCGCAACGCTAGCGCTAAAGACGCCTTCGATTTCCCCTTTGGATTTGTAAATGCATTACCATTTGCCTAACATGTACGCCACTATCAATTGTTTTTGAATTAGTTCGATTGAATTTTAAGGGGACGTTGCTATGCAATTTTTTTCCCATAAGCAACGAATCGGGTTCTAGCGAACCGACCCATTGCAACAGTGTCTACGGTCGCCTTTAGCGACAGATCACCCTAAGGTCACATCGCAAGGGCAGAAGGCATAGGGATATGTTAAGGTCATGCTGCTGCCGCATTTAGGACAAGCTTGTTGTACTAAATGTGTACATACTAGTACTTGAAGTTAGTCAAGGTACTAGTGTTTTTGCTTTGTTTTTTTTATTATGATTTTATATTTTTTATGACTTTCCATCTATGGATCTAAAATTTGTTACAATTAATGTTATTCACAAATGTGTGTATTACTATAGTTTTTGCTCGTCTACCACCTTGGGGTTGTATGCGGAAGGCCTCAAACATTCAACATTGCACCTGTAGAACCACATACTACGGTGTTCTAGATTTAACTAAAAAACGCAATGCCGGATAGTCTATCTTGCACTATTAACCAAAGATACCCGGCTAGGAAACATGCCGAGCAAATACCCTTCGTGTGTCTCACTGTTTTGCAACAACTAAAGCGAATATTTTTAACTAATGATGCAGGAGCACTATGTGCGTTACCTTGGTTGAAATCGCTGGTTTATATGTACATTCAATCTTCTATTCACAGCTTCGGGCGCAGTGCCTCAGTCATTTAATTGTATCATGTTTTCATCACTTCATTTGAAGTCATTCATCGTCTGCCTCTTCACAACGAGACTAAAACACACATTTTGTCCGCTATAATTCTTATCAACGAATCTACCCTGTAATAGTCGCTAAGCGTAAAGCTCTTTGTATACCCTACGGGACGCTGTCGTCGCAAACAATCTGTAACCGTCAAGGCCACAAGCGTAGAGACAGTAGCTCACCATACCGGCAGGATTTTAGATCGACCTCGTTTCCACCTAACAACAGCCGCACTTAGTTGTTTGGAAAGTACTTTCCCAGCGTCTATGTTCTTGTCACGACAAGGTGAGTAAGCATGCCCATTCGAGTCGATGCAAGAATTAACCGGAAACGGTCCTTTTCTCCCAATTGCACCTATTTCGGTTGTGGTCGCCAGCTCGATTAGACTCTGTTTCGCGAAGGGTTACACGTTCCTCTACAGTGGCCACTTCACTCTAAACTTCTTCTTCAAATTGCTCATTATACGATACGCGCAACTTTCCTGTACTGTCACGTAGATCGTCACGCATGCGGTCACGTATATACATACCTGTATAAGCCTTATCTATATTTGAGCACGTATGGTCTTTACACTGAGCGTTTAGCAGTGCTCGTTGATGCAAGGTTGGTCATTAACTACTGACATAATAAGCTACAGAATGCCCTGTTGCTACATAATTCCATGAAAATGTATAGCTATATATAATACTATACGAAGTATTAAATCTCTTACGTAGCTCCGGCTACTAAAAAATCCGCAGGAAACAGTTAGAGACAAGCGGGTTGCCTTATATAGCCTTATCTTCCTTCGATACGTATCTCACCGCATACAGCGATAATGCACTTCACACCGTCAGTATTCCTATGTGTCAAGAACACTTTCAAGGTATATTTGCAGACCTTAAAAATCGATAGCTATCGAAGTAAAAATCGACAATTACATGACCTCACTAACCATTTGAAGTAATTCTGCTAACAAAGCAGGGTCCCGTTTTGCAACTGCGCGGCACAGGTTAGACTGGTCACCACGCGTTGTCTCCCATTGCGTAATAACACACTGCGCCTATACTTAGCCGAATAAACTTGTTAGACGTCGTATTTTGCTGTTGCGTCCGTCTCAGGTGATACTATCATCAGTATATCAATGAGAGTCCTCTGCAAGAAGTCAGGCGACTGGTAATGACAGCACGGGACCACGGCCAAGAGCGGAAGCGTCGTTAAGCAGCTCTTGACACACTTCCTGAATTAGAGAGTTCTCTTCGCGGGCAAGTAGTCTTAGTGAGGGTTCGGTAACGGGAGCGTAGAAAAGAAAGACGCAGAGAGTCTTCCTTAACCTTTTTTGAAGAGCATGCCTCATTATTTCCAGAGAGAAAGAGGGGACTCTATTAGAAACTGATCTTAATGACTGTGTGCGTATGGCACCAAAGGTGTATGTCAAATAGGTGACACGACATAGAGTGTAGTGGTAATGGTATGTTGACAAGTTGGGTCAGTGCGTATTAACCTATACCAATGGTTTGACATGGTAGTGTAATAGGTTCCGTAATCCTGATCGTGTCATTACAGACAGAGAACTGTCTTTTAAGGACAAGTTAGACAAGTGCATGATCTGCTCTGGATGGCTAGGCGATTTATGGAAAGAGCCTGATAAAATAATTAACGACGATACATAGTGGCGGTACTCAAATAAAGAAGCTTTGACAGACGTGGCTATTGCTAATAAAAGTAGTCTCTCTCTGACATGCGCGCATTTGTGCCCCTAACTACGCTACACTCTACGGTTCTGGCTTTATCCTGTTCAATAATAATGTCTAGGAAGATTTCGTGGCCAGAAGTTTTGAAGCACCTACGGCCAAGGTCCGGCAAAAAATAAATAGATGCCGTATAATCTTCTTTGCTATATAACCGCTTTAGAAGAAACGATATGAGTCTAAAGATATCTATAAATACTAAGATAAAAAATAATGGATAATATTATTATAGAGGGATTATTATGGGTAATATTATTATAATAGAGAATGCCGAAAAAAATATTTTTATTTGCTATATTATTGATACGTCTCATTATGGCTTATACTATAAGGAAGTAAGGCTGGGGGCAGAAAGTAACGCTTTCGTAATTTTATTGGCAATTAGGCAAATTAATAGAGTAAATTTGTCATATGGAATACGACACACGTCAAAAATTTTATAACGCTTACTAACTGATTACGACCCAGAATCTGGCGGGTCTTCCTGGTGGGCTATCCTAACGGAATACAATTTCACCTTAAAACTTCATTTGCAAGATTGTCAAACGCCTTCCGACATCCTTCATTTTTTGTATAACGTACTGACTATGACATGGATTGGCATAACGAATGGCCTTGAGAATAGATTTCCAGGGTGCCTTCAGGCATTTTTTGAAGCACTCTGGAAAAGATGTCACTAGTCGTGTTCTAACCTATTCAATTTAAGCTACATAGGCAACATGAAATCCTCAATCTTTCTCTCAGCAGTGCAATAGCACCGTATTTAGCTACTAACCTGAGGAATACAAAAATGATTAAGCTTTTAAGCTAGACCTAGGCGCATTTTTTTTTTTAGTGTAATAATTCTATCGTCGACATAAGGGAATAGAAGGACATTTTGATACCGCAATGGTAACTGTCTCAACCAAAATTAGGCCTTTACCTTGATAACGATTAGGCAGACCTTCCGCTGGAGATCCCGGTACCTCATAGGATTCAACTACTAACGCAATAAATTAGAGCATAATTTCCCGTAGACAAACGGTGTTGTAAAAGTCTAATGGACGTCTAAACGAAGTATCGCTTAAGTATCGAGCACGAATCAGGTGTGAGTTTACTAGAGAACGTATAGCATTTTTCTATGTAAAGCTGAAAATTAAAGTCCTAGCTAAAGACCGCTGGTCGACTCCACTGATTGGCAGATACAGCTTTCCTTTAATCTAGGCAGAATATTTTTTCATATCTAAGCGAGAGACAAAGCCGGTCAATGGTTGTACAGGGAAAAAGCGACATCCGACCTTTGACGAAAATGTTTACCTTAGTACCTGAATCACCAGAGTTCAAGACTCGCAGCCATATGTCGTCTACGCTTTTGAAGCTTGTGGTCTTAATACTAATAAATAAACAAGCAAACCACGAATCCACATCGTCTATCTTAGAAGCCAGGCATAAATATTTTTTGTTTCGTCCGGAAATCAGCCGTTTATGGCTTTTGTTTGCCAGACATAAAACACGAAAAACATACTATGATTCCTTTCATTGTGATTTGTCTCAGCTTGAAAGAAGAATATTGTTTTTTTCAAACACATAGGCATACTAAAACGCGTATTAGAGAAGCCAGTTTTGTCGCCCCGTTCCCTTTTTTTGGAAAGCTGAAGTTTCAAAGGACTTAAAAGCCGGTATAAAAATGTAAAATGCAATAAAATGGAATATTAACTTATCTATAGGCAATCATTTGAGTAACTCTAAATTATATTTAAGACTTATGAATATTGTTAAACCTTGTTTATTTCAGAGAAAAATATAAGAAAATAGCCTTTATGTACGTGTTTCACTGCGTAGATCGAACTCGTACACCTGAGTGTTCGGCTCGTTTTGAAACAAAACTAGATCTAATGGTTATAACTAGAATGGCTAGTGCAGCAGAGAAAGGGTGCGCGATAAGGGGAAAGTAACACATTTAAAAGGGCAAGCGAGAGGGCCGAAAAGGAACAACAGCGTCCAGAATTTTTCTTTCTGGACTAAGCGATACGGTAATTCCAGTCTCTAAAAACGAATTCTGCAGTCAGCAGCTCTCGCAATCGACCAAAGACTTCTGCCAGGAACCAGCATGGCCAGGAATCGACTGGCGTATCGAAATGAGTCTAATGAGAAACTGAAAACGTGTGGAAAAGTCAACAGCAAGTAAGAAATTGATCGGAAGGGGGATGGGTGGGATGCAACTGACGATGGATCTGAAGCTCAATAGCAAAGCCCCATCACATCACATCACTGTCGGAAAGAAACGAAGGTAGGACGAAGAATCAGTTACGGATGCCTTCGGACGGTGGTGCCGCATTATCGCGTCTGTGCGCAAAAAAAAGTTTGGTAATGGCTTTTAATACTCCGGGATATACTGTAATAAAAAGTTGGGAATGGATGTTACTAGGAAAGCAAAAGGTTAAAAGCTAACTTGAGCTCGTCTACTATTTAACATATCCTATGGACTGTGCTTTATAATTTTTTGTGTTATGTGAAGCTTATTTTTTGAATAAATTTGCTCTAGCAGAGGGGTACTATTTACTATTGAGTAAATAATTAACAACCTTCTTACACAAACAAAAATAGTATTTTATAAACAGGAGCTAATGTCGTCTTATTCGTGTTTCAGGTAAGTGTGATTGTTTATCTGTGTGTACATTAGATGAACAAACCCAGCTTTGACTGATATAATTCGCAGGCGACCGGTATTGGGGTAAGGTTACTAGATACGCTTCAGTAAGTGATAGTAAGTCACAAATGACAAATAAGTGCCCTAGAGATGGCGGAGTCGTAATATTGTTGCCTGCCAATATGGCAGCTTGAGTTCTATTCTACAGGTCGCCAAGTATCTTTGAGGGTAGGCCGTTCATAATTCAAGTCATTGAATTATCTACATATGAAGACAAATGCCCGGACAACTGCTTGTTAAACGAGAGTAGTACAAAATCGCAGATCTGAAAAAGTGTCTTTTTTTGGATGATTTGCTAAATAATATTTATCTCAGTAAGGAATATTCACATTACACATCGAAATAGCATAATAATAATTATGTTCTATTTGAAGGTAAATCAAACTCTGCACTTTTCCTTGACAGTAGAATAATTCTTGATGGCAACTTGAGTAACTTGCTATTTTTCTATAGGCAGGTGCTTTTACGTGATTTCGCACTCTAAATTAAATATGCTAAAAATAAATAAAATAATAAAAGTTTCAATATCAATGACAGCAAACAGAAAAACCATGATAAAAGCATTATCTACAATTATAGGCATAGTAGAGAAAAGTACAACATATCAGGATAGTCGCGTTAGGTTTTGCAGAACTGGGGAATTGGCTCCCCTATTGGCCTATGAGCTTCGTAATAAATAGTGATGGAAAACTGCAGCTTTTATCTCAAGTACAACTCGCTTGTTTCAGGATGGTCGAATTTTTGTCCTATCTGACGTTAGTGATGTTCATGTGAATGAAATCGAGAGGTAGGATCAGGAACAAGTTAAAACCGCTCAAGTCTTCTCTCGACAGTCTCATGTTTACATTGTTTTAGGTTAAAGTTAGGTTTTTCCGCATGGCTCTTTATGTATAAGACGTCTGGCAACAAAATGACGCTGGCTGGCCCACCTGCTAAGTTGGGGTATTGATTTAGATCTTGGCATTTACGTGGCATCAGCGGATTTATTTGGCCAAGGTACCCCATTCGAGCTAGGCTGTGACGATCGTATAATGGCAACAGAATAAGCAGGATTTTTAGAATTTCTTCTTCGCTTAAATTGCTTGAGATGTTCAAACAACATCTACTACCAATCATGGTTAAATAAAATCGATATAAGAAAATGCACACGTATTGTGTGTATCTTGGTGAAGACGATAGTATGCGCTCCGTGTATAATATTACTGGCATAGGGCACTCTAGCGGTACAATAAATGTCCTCTCACTAATCCTTTATTTGAAAAAAAAAATTTTTTTTGATACTACGTTTCCTCTAATTGGATAACTATTGGTAGATAACGCTTTATTTTAGCAAAAATGCTACTTATCTTTTAGACAAGTTGTTATGTTAGGTTTGCTCCTTGTAGCTAGTGAACGTATGAAACGCCGTACAATGATCACCTGTCTGTCATTCGGTCAGCTCATATTAGAATTAAGGTCACCACTTATGCGTTACAATGCACCGAGAGATGTCTGCCGGTGGGTGCATCGGGTTTGCAGTATCCACTATTGAGGGTCTAAACTAAAACGGAATGATTGCGGCTAATTTTGAATATATACGTTCCTTTCGAATCGATCTCCAGAACAACCCTCACGACCCCAAGCAGCAAAGTACAGTAACTCAAGGACGCTTGTTATCCGTGCTTAT